ATTTATTTGATACTATTTAATTTATTTAATGCCTGTTTTTATTTATTTATTTTTATTTATTGAATAATAACTAAAACATTTTGTCATATGGACAATGGTTATAGAGAGGTACGACTATATTCTCACTATATTTGCAAAAAGATTATATAAATAGAAGCAAAATAACAACTAAATAATAATAATAAAGTATTTACAACAAATAATAATAAAATAACTTTAGATAAGAAAAAGAAAAAAAAGACATACTTATTTACACTATTACAATCAGGCGATTGTGCAGAACTCCAAGAAAGGCTTGTCCTTTCAACTATGAAGGGAAAAGTAAGACTACATGAGATCCCTTCGCTACTCTCTCAACCGCGTTACTGGTGATAAGCCAGTGAAGATTAATCGAAAAAGACTTTAAATTATTAAATATGGAACCTATAAAATATGTATGAGAAGGAGTTGAGTTGAGTCGGGGGGTGCGGTCAAATAAATACTAAATTATACAAATAGTATTAATTAATTTTTTTGTCCACGCGTCGACCCACTTTGCAGGTTTTCATCAAGGCGCAGGATCAACTCCTTCTCATATTATATCACGGTCAACCATCTCTACATCATTATAAAATATGTAATGTAATAATAAATATTATATAAATGAATTAGAGTTATAATTAACTCTAAGATGTGTTAGTTATATATAAAAAATATATATAAAAGATATGTTGGCTTAGATAAAAATATATATAATTTCAGGAATCCTAAGATGGCCAGTGACTATCCGTTTATTAAAGAGACGAGGATGAGTCAGTGGAGGTAACAACTGAAGAGGTCGTGTACACGACATTACAGACCTCTCGGGCCCCCTTTCCCATGAACCTCTTTAGTGGCCCCAATAATCGAGCTCCCTATCGATATATCGATATATCACTAATAGTAGTGGCCCTCCCCTGTCACGTACCCCGCGGGACACCTCGTAATTCCCGCCTGTTGGCAAGTTAAGCTCATCCTCCTTCACTGATTCAGGTAAAAAGGTTCCCGCGGGTATCCTCACTTACATAGCCTAATCTTTTTTTGTTACTCACCGATTTGGTCTTGGAATTGCCGATACGTGATCATACAATCTTGGCATAACTCTCTTGTTTGCTTATTGCTTCCCAGGCTCCGGATCGGAACTTTTTCTGTAAATAACTTATGTTTAATGTAAATAACACATTATGTTTTTAAAGGCTTTTCGGACTTTCCACCCTGAACTTTCTCGAGAATTTAGTCCATATACGAAAATTGAAAGGTCAATTATTAGAACATTATAGGAAAGTTTCACCAAAATTGTTTTCGCGCTACAATCTATAGAAAAACATGTGTTTCATTTATTGCGCGCAAGCTATTGCGCATGGAGCACTGAATTTCTGTCATAGGCATCAGTAGTCAAAACCCTACAAAATAAAGAAAGAAGGAACAAAATCGGTTCAGTAGTTCCCGAGAAAATCTTGGCACAGAAAGACAGACCAATGGCTGAAAATATGTTTTCCGGACTAAGGGGGCTCTGAAACGTATAGATCCTTCGAAAGCTGAATATCGGAAATTTGACCCGATTGCAATACTTTCCTTATCTAGTATAGGTAGGAAAGTAAAAAAAGGTATGCATAACTAAAATATAATAATACAAAACATGTTAAATTAAATTTGTTCCCAGGTGGTAAAAGACACTATGTCTCTTTTGCCATTAAATAATTTAGTTATGAAGAAACAAAGTTATGGAAAATTGTCTCTATGGACAAATACAAGATGGGACATGATGTTATTTATCTTTAAAAATGAAAGGGTGGGTATGAATGAATTCTATGATATGTTGCTACATATAATTACTTTGAATATAAAATAAAATTCCAAAAATGGGAACACTATCTAGTCTTAGCTTAGCCATCTAGTCGATTTTTAATATTTTCTTGATTTAGTTTAGTTTATATATTTTATTCATTCATATTCTTTAATTGTTACGATCTAGATTGTATTTTTATTCTTAGAAATATGGGGGATGGAGCAAAACAATATTCTCGCTCCTTCTCTATTTTTATTGGGGGACGATCGTCTCTGTAGCCCCTACAGTCTGCGTCTATGCATCTGAATACTGTTTATTTATGGAGTATATATATATATATATATATATATATATATATATATATATATATATATACATATATATTTATTAATAGGGTATTACTATTATCAGAGTAAAAAATGTGGCACGCACCTGCTTACCTATCTTATTACTATCTTATGAAAATGTACGAAAATGGCTTAGTGGCTGGTTTCCAACAAAAGAGCAACAGTTTTTCTGACATGGCATTCATTAATTACGAGAGAGATGAGAAAATATTTAATATGGCTAGATATGTATTTTATTTTATTTTTATATCTGATATTTGATTTTATTTTGCATCAAATTCTTCCCGTATCCAATCCTTACAATCCGAAATCCTCCGTAAAATCCTAAATGCTCCTTACTATGTAACAAATAAAATTATCCATAAAGACCTCAACATTCCTCTTGTGGAAGACTTGGCCCGAACTAGATATACCTCTTTTCATTCCAAATTCTTTGGTCACCCCAATCCTCTAGTTTGTAACCCTTCATCCAACACAATTCCTGACAACCCTCCGAGGCGTCTGAAAAGAAGATGGCCAAGAGATCTCCTAAATTAATTTATCTTAGTGTTACCAACGGGTAGCTTATGTTTACAGTTGTAAGTTTCAATAAAATAATAAAAAAGATTTTATTTTATTTCTGATTTTCGTTCCTAAACAAAATTTTATTTATTTAATAACCACAAAATAAGTTTAGGACATAATTTGAAATCAGAAACTTTGTTGACTTCTCAGGCAGCGTCCCATCAGGTATTCATACAAATTTCGAAAAATATTTTAATTATGTATTCAAAAGATCGCACAATATAGAAAAAGAGGTGAAAAACAAAACGAACAAAAACTGTACAGATATAAATTATTGTTAATTATCCCACTCAACGCTTGTCTGATTGACTGTTCGAAGTTCTCAAAATTCATTCGACTTATAAATTATTGCCGAAAAGACAAACTCTCACTGCAGAAAAAAATCAATAGGAGCCAGATGTATATATATGTTAATGTTGTTTAATGCCGGAGATACAACAACAAAAAGTGGCCCGGCTTTGGAGGGGATGATTCCGCCACCGGGGATCGGAATGTCGGGGGTGTTCTTTACCTGGATGGGCGACCCCCCGCTGCCCACGATTACCGCAGCGCTAATGAACCTCAGGCCTCCTTTACTGCCTCGCTTTATATTTAGTGCTCCCTCACAACGTCCGCGAACCGTCTGCGTCGTCTTGGATGGAGTTTAGTAGAAATAGAAGTCTTGAGAGTTCATTGCATAGGGAATAGCTGGAGTCGGGTCCCAAAATATCATTCAGAGATCTCAATTTGGGTCCCGAACCTTTTTAGTACTTGACCAAGGTTCGACCTATTGCCATTACATGGAAAGTCTGGAAGAAGAAAATTCATTTAAGTCTATTTAGAAAATTTTGAAGGTATGATATGTAATTTAAAAAATACCCAGAACAATTAAAATTTAACTACAGTATTACAGTAAAATAAGACATTGAACGATTTTAAAAAATAAATCGTGAATATAATAAGGGATTTTTTTACAGTTTAGGACTAACTTTATATTGAATGTCTACGAAACTAATTAACTTCTATCATGTCGATAAATTTTCATAAATTACACAATTATGCATATCTAACTGACATAAGATTACAAAACTTATTTAAGGTTTTATGAAAATGATACTCCTAAAAAGCAATAGGCACAGCTTAGACCCGCCCGGAATAAGAAGATACATAGATTTGTTTAATCTACGATCGCCAATTGGGAGCGATAATATCGTATCGCCTCCCCCCAATAATAAAAAATAAATAAAAATTATAACAAATAATTTACATGAATGAATAAAATATGTCAACTAAAATCGATTAAGAAAAGGCGACTAGCTTGCTAGCTTAAGCCTGTAAGTAGGCACGTAACTATTTTATCACGACCTAAATATTTCTGTTATTTAAATTATCACTCATATTGTTAAAGCTTTCTTTCTTGTAAGTCTAATAAATAAAGAAAAACAAAACATTTAATGAAATCAACGTTATCAGCGACTGCTCCACTTACTATACACACGCTCTAAACTTTCAATTAATTACAAAATACTTATCTACATAATTATAAGACCTATATAGACATACGCAGTTGAGCATTGAAGCTCCACCAAACCATCGAATTCCTATCGTATCCAATCCTTACAATCCAAGGTCCTTAATGCTCCATACTTTGTCACAAATAAAACCATTCATAAAGACCTTAATGTACCATGTGCCGCTGATTTAGCCCGAGCCAGATATCTATACTTTCATGATAAACTCCATCAGGATCCACTTGTTTCCACCCTTGCTTCTTCCTTGATTCCTGATAATCCTCCTTGGCGTCTGAAAAGGAGTTGGTCTCGTGATCTTAAATAGAATTATTTAGGGAGTGCTACCACTGGGTAGTATCTCTTCAAGCCTGTTCTTGCCATTATTTCTAATCTGTGCATACTGATTGTATTTGTATATAGTTGTCAATTTCATTAAAAAAAAAAAGAATTTCTATGATTACGACTGTATATTTGTGGTAACTGTGAATAAAGTGTGTTAAGTGAATAACAGGTAAAAGTTCAATTTTCTAGTTTCAACCCATGATTTTCGAATGGAATGTTCATTTCTGTAACAGCCGCATGACTTAGTCCATTAGAAAAAAAGCTTAGTCCACTACACAAAATTTCACCTAAGACACTTTTCAAAGGTGCCACAGGTATAAAGATTACATAACAAATAGAAATGGCGAACTATTTAATGAATATATGGAGATCACATTGGACCATTATTGCAATGTTTTCTTCTCGTTCTGAAGGAGCGGAACGCAGGACCAAGGACAGATCGACAAGAAGATGATGGAGGCCCGGCCCTTAGATCGGACCAGACACCCTCAGCCCGGCGGGGGTCCTGGGTAATGACAATGGTAGCTTTACTGCTTTATGCTAATCCACTTTGAGCGCCGGAGTCGATCCTCAACGGCTTACAATACTTTTACAGCTCCCCGCTGACGTATCAATCAGAAGCTGTAACGACACCGAGGATTAAGGAGAAGGGCTGTAAAGTCAGTAACACTGTTCCGAGCCGTCATCCCGCCAATCGGACAAACGAGCTTCGCCGAGCTGTTATGACCCTTAGGGATGGAGTTATGGCTGTGCCTTGTAATGCAGCTTTATTTTCCAAAGGGATAAAGGCAGTGTCCCAACCCCGAATATTATCTCCATCCGTATCGAAACAAAGTGAAGAATTCGTTCTGACGCACGCGTAATAGTCCTTAACGCAATGCACGAAATTCGCATTTGATTCTATAGATGGAGGATAGAAAAGAAAGAAATATAAATATGAAGCGTTTCCGATATCTATTGTATGTTCTGAAAAAATCCTTTCCTGAAAGAAGGACGCAAATAAATACCACGAACAAGTTCTGCTGGGTGGTCATGACTAAAATTTCCAAATTCACTATAAGAACTTGTCTACCTATTGTTAAATTCATAATAGATATGGATTAGCATATTTTTTGTTATTAGGAGTTTCCACTAATAGTGGATTCCTCCACTTCGTTATCCTTGGTCTTCCATGATCTTGCTCGTCTTCTTCTTTCCCTAGTTTTCCATAAGTGGACTTCTATGGGTAGTCTTCCTTCAGGCATTCTTTTCAAATTTCCATAACACTACAGGCGCTTTTTCTCAATCTCTTCCAAGATGGTTCTTTTCGCCTCCTTCTTATCTCTGCTTGTCGTATTTCTCACTTTATCCATTCCGGATATTCCCGCCCCGTTCGTCTCCAGTATTCCATTTAGGTGGCTGAAAGTTTCTTCCTGAGGTTACTTTTTATGGTCCAAGTTTCTGACCCATATGTCATAATGCTCAGTACATTAGATGTTTTTTTTGTTTTGTTTTTCTTGTTTTGGGGATAATGTTCTGGTTCTATAATACCGAATTGAGCATTTATATGGTCTTTTTGCCGTCTGAAAATTTTCTTTTTATTTCCACATCACATGCACCCATCTACTTCAATTACGGAAACAAGATTTTAATAAAATTATTAACATCCCCAATTCGCCCAAAACTTCGTAAACAACTTCATTTCATCGTAAAATACCAATATTTTATATGAAAATTCTCGATTTTGGGGCGTTTTCAATCCTCGACAATTTTTTCTATTTAAGTAGGTACTAAAAACACATACCGATTTGCTTTAAACTTGAATTGTAAGAAAATATAATAACAAAATCGAAAAAAAATTGTGGCCTAAAAAAAGAGTAGGCCATTTGGCATATACAACCTCGTGATTTTGACATTTTGGGAGTGGAGGTCATAACAAACGGCCCAATATTTTTGTAAATCAGCTTTTCTTTCGATTATGTGATCATACTATCGTACAATTCAAGTGGAAAGCAAATGGGTATTCATGAGTTTTTAGTATTTGATTAAATATACTAAGTTTGTCGATCTTCAGATTGAAAACACCCCAATTTCCAAAACTTTAGAAAATAAATATTTGTAGGTTACGCTATTTGAAGATATTTACGAAGTTTCAGGCGGATATTATTATTTGATCAAAAGCGGTCTGTACCACGGACTATTAATTAATTCTTCATAATTAATGATGTGAATTAATTTCTAGATATGAGTGAGACACCCGAATCGCCAAGTTGCAATATCTTTACAAACATTGACTTTAGAATTTAGACATTAAAATAAATAAATAATTTTAGAATGGCAAGCAAGTATCGGACGCAGCCAGACTCAGACAGCCGTTCGACACCTAACCACCCACAAAGCTGCAATAAAATGCAAATCCACTTTTTACACCAACTCCTTTCAACTAAACCGATTCACGATTCCTTCTAGTCCACTTTTGATTGTTTTTCTGTTTCTCTTCGGTAATTGTGCGTCTTTATTGTGTCTCCAAATTCGTCGATGATAGCATAATGACAAAATAGAATTTTCAAAAAAAAAAATCCATCAAAATTTCATAAAATTTTTGTATATATAAATAAATATTGTATTCTATGCTCATACATATTGTTAATCCTATATAATTGTATATTAGTTTTAAAAAATTGTCTGTACTGATTAATAAGTATGCTGTGTTTAAAGCAACCCAATGTAATTGGGCAGCACCCTTTTATGATAATAAAGTGATGCTCTCTCTTCTGCATATATGATTATTGAAAATAACTAAATCTTGAATGTAACTTATATAGAACTTGAACTTGAAAGACTAATAGTTAAAAACTGAAGTAACAGTGCTTTCATGACAATAAACTGAGAATACTATTATAACTGCGACTTTTATTATACAAGTGGTTCTTTAATTAAAATTAAAACCTTAGTGAAGTGTATGTATATCATTACGAAGTGTACTTTCTTAAGTAATCATTAATAATGATGAGGATATGTCCGCGGTTTTTGAGAACAACATTTTAATTACTTTTTATTATTTTATATATATATATATATATATATATATATATATATATATATATATATATATATATATATATATATTTATATTGATACAATAAATAAAAATATAATTTCAGTTCCAATAATTTTATTCTCAGAAAACATTCTTTAGATATAAGATTGGCGAAAAGTGGTCCAAACAAGATACTCGAACCGGCAGCCGAAAAATAAACAGAAAAAATGCCGGTGATAGGTTTTTCAAAATGATATTTACACAGCTTCCAGTACCGACTCTGGAGAAATATGAGTCGCTGGTACAGAAGTAGCTGGAAGATATTATCAAATTTGGTATTCATGGCTTCTACTGTTGCCCATTTTTTTTTGGAAATATTTACCGCCCCCCTCCCTTTCAATTCATAAATATTACGTCCACATAGCTATGTAAAATAGGTCTTAGTTATTTGTCCGGTTGGAAATTCAAGAAGGAGACCTGAGGAAGCCGAAATAATTTGAATCGAAGATCATTTTAAAAAAACTCATCAGATTGTAGCAACAGATTTTGGAACTCCGAACATTTAAATCATGGAGTTTTTATTTATTTGCGCTCAACGTCATTACGTTTTTAATTATAGTGGAAAATACCATTTAAATACGCATTTTAATTCGTATAATAATTACAATTGTGGGGCGATGGTTTACTGGAGTGAATAATCAAGAGAAGGATAGTTGGGGTGATCAGTCAAAATAAAAATGGCAAAAATAAATAATAATATTTATTTTAACATTTGCCGACGTTTCGACCCGAAGTTCAGGCCTTCATCAGGGCTGAGAAAAGAACCAGATAACATGGTATGGGAAACATAAACAATGTAGGTAAAAAAACTTAAAGTAAAATGAAGTAGATAAGTGAACATTAAAGTAAAATAAAGTAGGTAGAATAATAACAATAACAAGAACTAAAAATAAATCCTTATAAGGGCTGAATATTATTATTTATTTTTGTTATTACTATTTTTTTTTACTTTAATGTTCACTCATCTACTTCATTTTAATTTAAGTTTTTTAATCTACATTGTTTATGTTTTCCATACCATGTTATCTGGTTCTTTTCTCAGCCCTAATGAAGGCCTAAACTTCTGGTCGAAACGTCGATAAATGTTAAAATAAATATTATTATTTATTTTTGTAATTTTTATTTTGACTGACCACACTCTCATTCTCTTCAATTATAATTATAATCATTGGCGGAAACACCATAAATTCAAACGTGAAAAACCAAGCTCGAGGAATATATAGTTTTGATGAGCAAACCAATTATTACACTTCTTTGGTCGTGTTTTGCACTTTTTTGTGGAGAATAAATTAGATAGAGCCGTCAGATTTTCGATGTGTAACGCTTGGGTAAAGTCTGCTTGAGCTGACTAATCGAAGTGTTTTTACATATGGATTAAAATATCTCAAAAACTAAAAATTGGACCTACGTATTGTTAGCGAGGGAAATGTTCATCATTTCATCTTCTTTATAATGAGCTATTATTCAAAATTGTATCTCAACGCGACGCCATAATAGGGAGGTGAAAAGGAAAAAATAGTGTCGAAAATCAAATGATAGCGAGTTTTATGGAAGATATGGTATTAAAAATATTACAGAAACTACAAAATTGGAACAGTATACTGTAGCGCAGAAAATATTCAGCATTTCATCTTTATAACGAGCTATTGTTCAAAATTGTTTCTTAACGCGACGCCGTGTTAGGGAGGCGAAAAGGAATAAAATAGTATCAAAAACCAAATGACGAATTTTATGGAACATAAGAATAAAAATATCTCAGAAATTAAAAATTGGACCTACATACTATCAGCGAGGGAAATGTTCAGCATTTCATCCTGTTTATAATGAGCTATTATTTACAATTTATATTTCATTTTATTTTATTCTCTTATAATGTGTGGTATGTGCTTCAAACTTAGTTTTTTGTTCATTGGTTGGTTTTATAGGTAGTTGATTTTGAAAAATCATATATAACCCAAAATTAATGAAACGAAAAAAAAAAATTATTAATTAATCCTTCGCCATTTTGTTTTAAGGTAGCAGATGATAGGGTGACTTTTCAGTTCTTGTAAAAAAATGCCCAATTTGTTTTCTTGTGATTTTACTGAAAGATCAGAGAACTTTATAATAGACCCCCTTCTTTTATTTCTTTCTTATTTCAGCTTTCTCAATTTCTTCCCTCCTTCCTTTCATTCCTTTTCTCTGTTGTTAACTCTTTATTATATTATACATTGTCTGTACATCTTGATAGACTTTACAATATCTCAATTTTCTATCTAACTACTCCATTCTCAATGTTTTTAATTTTACTATTTATTTTATTTTCATTTCTTATATAACTTTATATTTCTTTTTTATGTTTTTTACATTTTATTCTAAGATTCCCAATGTAACACTTTTGTCACCCCTTTTTGATTGTGCCTACTTCATCATTCCACACTATGTAACAGTTTTTATTATTTATCTCTTAGTTCTTAGTCATTATTCTAACAATTTCATTTTACTTTATATCTATCTATTTTATTTTTCTAATATTTTTTTTATTTTTTTTTTATTTTCTCATTTTTTATTATCTTTTTTACCATCATTACTTATGTTTCTCATACCTTGTTATCTGGTTATTTTCTTAGCCCTGATGAAGGCCTGAACTTCAGGTCGAAACGTCGGCATACGTAAAAAATAAATATTATAATTTATTTTTTGTCTTCCTTTTTTGACTGAACACCCCAACTATTCTTCTCTTCTTTATGATAGACCATGTTGCCAACAGCACGAGATGAAACTATACCTTTTTTGTACAGCTGCGCATGCTCAACAGCTCGCTTCTAAATTGAACTATTAAAATATGTTAGTAAGTGAGCTGGGAGTCGATATCGCATGCGCGCTTAAAGCTCTCGGCAAAAAAGCCACTTACCAAAGCCGGTGCTGAAACTCCTTAACGAGTCCTGAGTGATTTTCGCAGAACGGTGAGCGACTACTCAGCGCGAGACTATTACAGAGCGCAGCGGGGGACCCGGTGGGAGGTGGTGTGGTCAGCATATCTGATCCACCTGGTGTTGGCTAGGTGCGTGCTGGGCCTTCCGAGGTGTCGAAGGAATCCAGATGTCTATCTCAGCTCAGGTCCAGCCTATCCTGCCGGGTCTGAAGGACAAGTGACATCTTAAGTATGCAAATCGGCTGTAGGAGGAGAGGAGACGTTTCTAACACTATTTCCCTGCATTGCGGTAGTGATACTACACTGAGTAAGATTCTTCTCACAGAAGTCCAATTAGTAAGACATATTTATTAATTTAATTATATCTATATAAATAAAATAATGGTTTTCTCTGTACATTGAATAGAATCGACCCGTTTCATGACATATTTCCGTTCCATACATTACAAACACCAAATCCATTTTTAAAAGATTTTTTGTTTGTCTGGATGTTCGCATTGTCCAACGAAATTTCGTCAGAGATAAGCTCGGCAATGGTTAATGGTAGACATTTGAAATTTTCACGTTATATTTAGGTTTGCTTGACTTAAAATATAGGCTTTAAATGAAAACAAAATATTGCTTTTTTAACCACCTACTCCTTTCCCAACCCGATTGATCATGAAATGTAGATAAGAGAACTTTTAAAGTTCCCCCAGAAATGATTTTCTTTACTTATGCTATTTTATTTTATTATATAGTTTGTATTATACATATCAGAATGTTTTTAGTGTAATAGTTATATTTTTTAATGATATAGAGATGGTTGACCGTTGATATAATATGAGAAGGAGTTAGTCGGGGCTGCGGTCAGATAAATACTAAATTAAAGTATAGTAATTATTTCCGCTCTGATGACTTGGTATAGAAAAGTGGCAAGGAAGTACAAACGGCGGTTTGTATGATATGATGATATGAAACATAAACGTAGAAAGAAATTTATAAAAGAAATAGTAATCGAAAGTCTCTTACTCGAGGATAATATTAAAATTTAGTGGAATATGAGGAAGCAGTGAGGTAAGACGGAGAAAGATATATATATATATATATATATATATATATATATATATATATATCGGGCCCTTTGGTCCCCAACACCTCCCACGACACAGCCGGGACCACCTGCGGGCCTGTGCAATTGTACTCAAAGGCGATTCGAATGTCGTGCCATGTCGCCGCCTCCGAGGAGGTGCTGAAAAAAGTGACAAATAAAAAAAGTAACGGGGGGGGGGGAGACAGAGTTGTGGGGTTGTTCGGGGTGTGGGCCGCGACAGAGCCGACAAATCACTCCCGGCTCCAAAGTGCCTCACTCCAAACGGAGAGATAGTCTATCTCCTCCGGACCTTCCTACCTTCGTCAGTGCCCATTTGTTTTACCTCTCCCTCCTCTTTTAAATAAATATTACTTTTATTTACTCCTCAAGACATCCTTCTCCTTGTCGCCGTCGGATCGATATAGGATGTTTATAGAGGCAGATAGCTTTATCCCTGCAATTAATATCGGATATCCCCTCGGAGCGAGCGATATATCCACCCGGGGGGAACATATATAAAGACCAGAATGGCGCTCTCGGGTTACTCTATTATTGCAATGGGGCGCATTATGCAGTTGAGTTATGGCGACATGAGTTTATTCGACCGCAAAGCTCAAGATTAAAACATAATTATTTCGATTGCAACAATGACTTCTACCTTTTCCTATAGTACAAACTTATGTATCACAAAATAGAACTGCTAAAGCAGTGGAAACACATGAACATAATTTTCTTGAGAGAATGACACCAGAAAAAGTGAGTGATAACATTAAAAGTGCAATATTACCATAATATCACAAACTATATCCTTAATTTGTTTTGTTTCGATGTCTAGGCGCAAAACATCCAGGTCATAAGCGCATTTGAATACGCGCATCCTTAATTAAGCGCATCCTTAATTTGAATACGATTGTGGTTATTATATTTTATTTATTTTTCCATGATCTTAATTTTTATATAACGAATGATTCTATTGATAAGGAAAGTTACTAATCTGAGGACTAATTTCACTGAATACAGCACAGGTGGACAATTATTTATAGTGAGATTTGGTAAGGAGGATATTGTTTTAATTCACTTTCCTAATTTGTTATTTAAGGCACAAATATATTACTGCAATAATCTTAATTTCTTCAAATATAGAAAAAGCATTAGTATTTGTGTCCTATTTTCTTAAAGGTAAATTAAAGAAAGTATATAAAGATATTTAAATTTGGTAAAATTAAAATTTTTTATAAAGAATAAGTACTCAATTCAATGTATAACATCAGAAATTTTGTTTTCATTTTTATTGCTAATTGATTAGAAATCTCTGATTTCTCAATTTTTTAAGGTTATTTGCAGTGCGAATAGAGGATATATTTTTTAAATATTATTATGAAAAAAAAAATAGTTTAGAGAGAAAGAAGAACTAACAGTTTATCATCCAATTCAAACACATAATTTATTTTTTATGCATTTATATTGAGTTTCAAAATATAAATATGTAAAGTAAATTGAAAAATAACAACATTGTGTTCATAAAATGGTTACATCCAACTTACCCATCGACCCCAAAAGTCGATGTAACAATAGAAAATATATAAAAAATGTCTATATAAGTTACATTCAGTGATCATCTATCTATAAATAATTAATAAATATATTGATATAAATATAAATATAAAAGTGTATATTTATATTTATTGTACATAGTTTTAAGTGTCTTGGCAAGGTTTCAAGAGTTTTGTATATAGATTTTTTTATTTTATTTTGTATATAGTATAACTAATATTTTCTTTACTTTTTATGTTTGTTTTTATTAGGCCAAATATAACATTTTAATTTTGTACCTTTTTGTTATTCTGAAGTGACTTAGTCCCAGAATAAAATTATTTTCTATTCTATTCTATTCTAAATATCCAGTGTAATTTCATCTTACTATGACAATTAAAATATTTTATTGGCAAAATAGAACTTGCTTTTACAAGTCTTGAAGTCAAAAAAAAAATTAAAAAAAAAACCATAGAAAATATAGAGATATTTGATTCAATCAATGAATTAAGGAAAGCACTGAATCCCATTTGTGGATCCATTGATGAGTTTAGAAATTGACTGAATTACTTCCTATGTCCATCTAGTGAACTTGATGTACTAATTATTATCAGTGAATATGGTTGATAGACTTTAATTTATTTATTATTGAAAAAGTAGGTCATTTTCTTTTTAATCTACATCGATCAGGTAATATAAAGGAGGAAATTGAAAGAACTAGTGGATTGAAGTAATTTTGAGTTTAATAATGAAATGTCATTGACTTACTATTGGAAAGTTAATAATTTTGTTCGTATTTTGTTTATGAGTGTTTGTTTTGAGGAAACCCAAAGTTCTGTTCCAAAGGGAGAAATTTATGTGGATGGATTTGCTGCTATTCATTTTAATTTTTCTATTTTTCGAACGACTTTTCAAAATAATAGAGATGATTTTCAAAGGAAATTGAGGCATCAAATGGAGTTTTGTGGGAAGAAAGAATTGCAGTAAAGTGGAAGAAGCAATAGCTCTAAGGTGCTGAGTGAAATCAGAGGTATATAGAGAAGAGAGCATTGGGCTTAAAACGCTACCTTGTGGTACACCAAAGTTTTGAGGGAAGAAGGAGGAAACAGAAGATGCTAACATAAACAGTTCAGCTAAGTCACTAAAAATATATAATAATTTAAACAAACGACGCCCTAAGCGCTGATGGTTAGTAAATATGGCAGAGATACTAAGCGAGAGACGCTGGTAATTATCCAATCGCCTAGTTATCTCCTGGATGAGTTCCTTTGTCTGGGAGCTAATCAATTAATTGAATCACTCTGAGGAAGGGGGCGCTCATTTACATGACAATACCCCTCCAGGTAATGACGGCCGCCTCCGCTCCATCTTCTTTTTCTTAATGCCTCTTCAGGAATTATAATTCCAGGACCACTTATTGCACTACAATGCTATGGAGTCTTCTATTAGGCCTATTACGCTTCCCGCTATAAATGGCTTCCACACAGGTCTCAGTTATATATAGGACTCTCATACTTCAAAATTTAGCTTGCGCAGCTTGTCCCGAAATTTAAAGACTAGAATCTAAAAAACCATTATCCTACCTACAGTTATTTATAAATGTGAAACGTGGCCGCTTACATTATGAGATGAGCAACGTCTTAAGGTTTTTGAAAATAAAGTATTGCGTGGAATATTCGGACCGAAGAAAGATGAGTAAACCGGAGAGTTCAGAAGGTTGCACAACGCCGAATTGTGTGAACTGTATCCAGTTAATATAATTGAGGTGATTACATCGCGGAGAATCGAATGGGCTTTTAAAATAGTTGGAGTTGGTAACGAAAAAATTCCTAAATGGTTGATATTTGCTGTACCGAATGGTAAAAGTCCGATAGGTAGACCGAAGCGAAGGTGGGAAGATTGCGTTAAAGCCGATCTGAAGAGACTGGGTTTGGACGGCGAACGGTGGAGGATGGTGTGTAATAAACGATTGGTGGTGTCGGCATCGAACCTATGGGTTTTATTTGAATTCTTTTCGCAAAACACTAAGTTTCCTTGCCAGCAGCACATGGAAAGTAAAAGATACGCCGCATCTGGGTTCCACGGACAAGGCATAAGAACGACTAAAGCCCTACGAATGATTTAATTTAGGCAATATATCAGAAAAATGGATTGTTTCATAGTATGTCGGGCCTTCGGAGTTAATATAGATTAAATTCATTTTCGTCTGAAGAAGCTCTATTATTATGTTCGATGATAAATATTCAGGACGCAGTCATTACAAGATTCTTATTAGTGCCGACGTTTCTATCCAAACATGTGGGTCATCATCAGGGCGTGGTGTGAGCAATGAGAGTGTTCAAGTACTTTAGGACTTGAGTATCTGAAGGAGTACTTGAATATCTTCAGTGCTCGAACCAAATCCTGATGATGACCCACATGTTTGGGTTGAAACGTCGGCAGTAGTAAAAACCTTATGATGACTGCATCCTGAATATTTACCACCAATGAAATGTAGAACAGTCGACTAACTTCCTCCAATAATCTAATACCTATATTACTATAAACAGGACATAGATAGACTCGAAAAAATCTGTGATCAGAGAAACAGAGCAAATCAGCCGAAAAGTAAATAAAGATAAAAC